AACATCGATATGTGGTTCAATGTCATCGATCATCTCATCGGAATTCATATTGTGTACCTCTGCCTCGATTGGAGTAATGACCTTAATATTAAGTTGTCGTTTGATAGACTCAACACGTTTGACTATAAAGGCCAAGTTAGTCATAACAGAAATCAAAGTTTCCTCTAAATTCTTGAATTGTGATTTGATGAAAGCCTTAAAGTCATCATCATTGTTGACGTGTATCGATCCACCTGCTTTAGTTCCTTTATATACTGTGCCATTAGGTGTGAGGCAAATAGTATTATCAAAGAGGATTTCTTCATTCATGTTCGGTGGGACATCGTCAGACCATAAACCAGATTGTGGATTTCGTTTGATTTCAGAAGGTGAAGGAGATTTGTTGCGATCGCTGTCTTTGTTAGAAATATTGTTATTATTATTATTTCTCAGTGGGGTAACTTGTTGGTTGTTGTTCGTGGTGGGTGGTGGTTTAGTAACATGGGCAAAGGTAATGTCCGGGTTGACTACGCCTCTCATTTTTTTTTGGGAGTATTATAATTGGAATACTGCGCAGGTTGGAATCTTTGATAAAGATTCTGCATATTTCGGTCAGATAGACTTTTCCTTCTTTGTGGACAATCATTCACTTTGTAATTAGGTGATAAGCAAATGGCACAAAGTTTGGCCTTTGCTTCAGTCCAAGTCACGTGTTTGCCATCTATAATAAGATTATCGTTTGAAATTGCAGCCTCAAAATCGTCTGCAGTGGCAAAGTAGAAAAATGCATGTTGTAAATTTTGGTAGTTGGACCGGGCCTTGGGGATAACCCAGGCAGTGGCGTCAACTATCTTTCTAATTTCCTTGAGTTGTCTACCTGTCGTGAACCTAGGAAGGCCGGCAAGTTTTGCTGAGAATTTTGAATGTGCTAGAATTTCTGCACGAGATTGATCACATATGTAGACTCTGATCATGTCATTAAGTACGAAAAGGCCGTAACAATTCTTTAGTTTCATGAAATTAGCATCTTCAGCGAAGGTAATGGTAGCCTGTTACCACATACAGTCAAACTTTGATATAGCGAACCCTTGATATAGTGAATTTTTAAATCAAATATATTAAAATTACCTTTGCTATAGTGAACTAACCAATTAAATTCTTTAAAAAATTCGTTATAAGCTTATAACGAAGTTGATATCCAAATCCTAGAATTCGTTATATTAAGAGTTCACTGTATTCTTTGTTTCCATTGTGAAATGGACGATCGTTCTGAATCTGGCGAATTTTGTTCTAATCCTGTGTTCCGTAGAATCCAGGAGAATTTCAGTCATCTTGATCAACCTTGCAGGTACATACGGTTGTACTCATACAACATCGAGGGGTAAGAACGTGCAGTTTTCTAAATTGGGTAATGGAACTGAACACGCATGATCTCATTCTTTTTGGTTACGAAAGGAAATTTTTAGGATGCGTTGTGATTGGTCCTTCGGATGTTTGGCTAATGTCGCACCTGAGAACGAATCATATTTGTCGAATAGCATATCGACAACAGAAAAGACTTTTTGCTGTGGCAACGTTCCTGGAAATTCTTTAAAGGGAAAATATCCATGGAAAAAAAGTTTTTGGCGCTCAAAAGCTTGTACTGAAGACATATTTTTATCCAAGAAGTTCTCTGACGCGTCAAAACTAGCATTTACGTCGAGAGTAGTAGTGGTATTTTCTGAGGTCTCATCCAAAGTTTCTTTCTTCTTGCCTTTTTTCGAAAGCGAAGGGTCGACATCCATGGATACTACCGGTTCTGAAGTCTCGGTAGTCTGTTTGGTTAGTGGAACTTTCACAGTTTGCGTTGTATTTTGTTTTTTTGCTTTTTGCGTAGTTAACGATAAAGATGAATGTCTTCGTTGTTTTGTTTTTGCTTGCTGTTTTTTTTTGGGCATTTTGGGATCAACAGGAGAGAGTTTTTTTGTATCACCTTATTAATTGATTAGACTCAATTATACATAAAGTCGAAATGGATCATTACGGATATCCGAAATGGTCGAAATGGTCAAAATCATTTTTTTTTTGATACTTTTACTAGGCACACACAAGTGGTATTATATTTGGATGCATACCCTTCAACAGAAATAGATACGTCTTACAACACGTCAAATGCCACTATTAACCCCCCTTTGCTATTTTTCAAACTAGTGTGGGTTGGCGTAACTATTTTTTGATCATCAATTACTCAAAATCAATTTACTATCCCGTAACCCATTTTTAATAAATCAGCTTCCATATCATTTGATGTTTGATATCATTAAGATCCAAACCATATCCGACTATTTGATCATTTGACAACAAATTTTTTACTCTAGATTCATTAAAATTGCTAGTTAACATATCGTAAATAATAGACGAATTTTTTTCTTCTGATTTCAACTTAGATAAAGATTTTTCATTGAAATCAAATTGAAATAATTTAGAATTAAAGAAAAATGAACTAGATATAAATGTTTTAATAAAACATTTTAACATTAATTCATTATATAATAAGGCTGGCATAAGAGTGAATATAATCATATGATCATTTGAGAAAGTTTCCTTAATTTGAACAAAATTGTTAAAGGTTTGTTGTTCAGATTCATTTAATTTCATTTTATCAAAATAATTAGCCAACATATTGCCGCCTACTACTCCAATAAGGATTCCAATAGCTGCACTAACAATTCTGCTAATAATAGTAGCCACTATTGTTAAACCAGCAGCTCCATATGATTGAAGAATCGAAACAACACTTCCGCTTTCAATTATGTCTCCATATAATGACATGAATCAGACATCAAATGAACCTACTGCAACACCTTCTGTACCAAATCCCAACGTACTAATTATTGCTGAAAAAATAAAAGGCGTAACTACTAGACCAGTTAAACCTAATGCTGTAGCGGCTGCTATAACGGTTGCTCATAGATTTTTCCAAATCTTTCTAAATGAGGTCAGAAAGTCATTATTTGCAAATGCAGTGAATAAAATGATTGTAAATAATCTTTTATCAGACATAATTAACACCATGTTTGTTTTTTAATAGTTAAAATTTTTGACAAAATATAAATTATGACGGAAATTCCTAATAATTCTACCTTTATATTTTATTTGATTGCCAGGTTGAAACACAAAATGCTGAACTTGCAATCCATATATTTTCTAAAAACTGATGAGGCACAGCAATTATACGCACTGTTCATTCCTGAAAGTTAAGCATAAGCCTCTGATAGTTCAGATGCGGCTTTATTAGAATAAGTCGCATCCAAACTGTCGGGGAGGCGACTTTATTAGTATTTTTTCTATAAAATATTGTGACTAATTAGGATTAAAAATTATTAATAGTTCAGGAATTATAAAATTAATTATAAACTTATTTATTAATATATTTATTGATATTGATTTAGTTTGTGTAATTAATTTTTTAAAAAATATTTTTATTTAATAAAAAAATAAAAATTTTTTTTGAAAAAATTAAAGGAATTTTAGTATTATTATTAAAAGTGCTTAAATTATATAATTTTTATGATTTATATAATAGTAATAAATTAATCATAATTTATATTAATCTTAATACTATACTTCATTTTAATTATAAATTAAATGATATTTATGATAAATAATAAGTAATATGTAGAAATTATTATTCTAAAAAAATAATTTCTGAATTTATATAGTAAAAAGTAAAAAAAAGATAGCAATTCTGACTTAATGATTAAGCTGCAAAGCTTCTTATAATATAAAGTTTTATTATATATGCTATATAGGCTAAAGTTTAGATTTTAGTTAAAATATAAACTATATAATTTTTATAATACTTTATTATAACTGAACTAAAGATGGTACAGCAATTGATTTCAAATTTACAAAATGTTGCAACATAAGCTAAAATTAGTTGCAACATAT